GATTCTCACAAATCACTTCCATTTTACGATTTATCTCTGATAAATAGCTGATTTTGAGTACTCAAAGCACGAATCAAACCTTCACACAGACTTGGCAGTTTTGCCATTGTCGAAACTGCTGCTGCCGTCTTCCTTAATAGTCGATAAAACAGGAATCCACTGATGCCAGAGAGTGGAAAACCTGCTATCATAAATCCAATTATATAGATGTTCTCTAAACTGAGATCATTTCGAAGAGCTACCTACAACAGGTAAGATAATTATTTACAACCCTTCCATGTAACCCACCTTAAAAGATTTAAAGTAAAGCATGAGGACATTATAATGATACATACAAATGTTTGGTAGGCTTGGTTCTGTTGACAAGTAGGGTGGCCTCCTTGTAAAATGGTAGGGGAAACACTGCTCCTGCAAGAAAAAGTTTGGCCCTTCTTTGTTGAAAAGAGGTGGGCGAAGTTGCTCTGAGAACAAAACGATACAATTTTTGTCACACATCAACATCATTGAGATGATTTTGTGGCTTTGGATGGAGTATGCAGGGCCCTTTACTTTGACCGTGGAGTTCAGCTTAAATGTTTTTAATGGTTTCTTTGGCTCAGCATCAGCACTATCTATTCGATCAGCCTGGGGTCACATTTCCTCTTGCATCCACATCCTGGAATACTGGCTATAGTTCCCTGAATCCTATAGTGTTTTTTTTAATAACATTGTCATTTGTGGTCAAAGGAATATGAATCTGCTTGGAGATCCATCCATCCATTATCTTTTACCCGCTTGTTCCATTTTGGGTCACGGGGGTCGCTGGTGCTCATGTCCAGCAATCACTGTGCGAGGGGCGGGGTACACCCTGGACCAAGTCTATCACAGGGACACATAGAGACAAACGAGACAAAGAACCATTCACTCTCTCGCTCACACCTATGTTTTTGGTCTGTGGGAGGAAACCGGAGTACCCGGAGAAAACCCACGCATGCACGAAGAGAACATGCAAACTCCACCCAGAAAGGCCCCCGGACCGGGGTTTGAACCAAGGACCTGCTCGCTGAGAGGCAGCAGCTCTACCAGTTGTGCCACCGTGCTGCCCTCTGCTTGGAGATGGTCTTGTATATTCTACCTTTAACTTGGATATCTACAATTTTCTTTCTGAGCTCCGCAGACACCTCTCACTTTTACTTTCTGTGCTCCATGTTTGTAGAAATGATGAAACAGGATGGCAGCGATGCATCATCAATTTTGTGTAGTTTCCTGTCTCACAGCAGTGTTTCCCCTACCATTATACAGGCGGGGTGCCCCACCCTGTCAACAGAACTGAGCACCCCGCCTACCAAACTGAACTTGCCCCTCCCACCCCTACCCGGCACTGACATATCACTAAGCTAGCAGCGCAAAATACAGGTTCTCTAGCTAAAAAGCCAAAGGCAGCACTCACATTACCTCTTCCCTCATGTTGAACGCCCCCCATCCCCGCTCAAAAACTGTTAGTACAAGCTGCGCTCAGACATGTCTTCGTCCCCACCATCAGCAAAAATCATGGATCAGATGAGCACCCCGCCATGGCAAGCTAACTAGGGGAAACACTGCACAGTATATTTGTGAGGGTTTTTTTTTTCCACAAATTCCCATATAATCAAGAATTGAATGGAGAAAAGTTAAGCTTGAACTTTGTTATAGGAATCATTTCAAATTTTAATATTTAAACAAGGCAGCATGGTGGCGCAACTGGTAGAGCTGCTGCCTCTCAGCGAGCAGGTCCCTGGTTCAAACCCCGGTCCAGGGGTCTTTCTGGGTGGAGTTTGCATGTTCTCTCCGTGCATGCGTGGGTTTTCTCCGGGTGCTCCGGTTTCCTCCCACAGACCAAAAACATGCATGTTAGGCTGAATGGTAACTCTAAATTGTCCCTAGGTGTGAGTGATAGAGTGAATGGTTGTTTGTCTTGTTTGTCTCTATGTGTCCCTGTGATGGACTTGCGACCCGTCCAGGGTGTACCCCGCCCCTCGCACAGTGATTGCTGGACATGGGCACCAGCGACCCCCGTGACCCAAAATGGAATAAGCGGGTAAAGATAATGGATGGATATATATTTAAACAAGCGATACGCCAATGTCCCATGTCAAAGAAAATTTTAAATAGTGCACTTTTGTAGCTTTCAAGGAGTGGTTTTCTGGACTGGAACTGAACAGGGAATTCAAGTAAAAAATGTTTTTGGTGCAATATGTTCTAGTGTATAAGAACAGAGGACCGCCACATGTAAGTGGTGCTACAGCAGGTTGTACAAATCAATCCATTATCTTTACACACTCATTCCTTTTTGGGTTGTGGGGGTCACTGGTGCCCATATCCAGCAGTCACTGCAAGAGGTGGGGGACACCCTAATCCAGGTATGCACTCCAACATTTTTCAGTCAGGTCATCTGGACAGGTTCTTTTTTTGTGCTGAAACGATTCGCCTTCGATCCGGAAGGCTTCATCAGTCAAGGAAATACACAACAAAACTGATTCTTCCCCCAACAGCTTACTCCAAAGTGGAACAAACCAGTTATGTTGGTACTAAGAAAAAAAAATCCTCTTACTTTCTCCCCTCAGAATCAAAAGAAAGTCTTCTGTTACATGGACATTCATCTGCATGTCCCCGGGGTTCACGTCGTCCTTCACAAGGACAGCTGAATATTCAACCCATTGATCTTTCTTCACTTTGTCCTTCATTGATTGGACTTATTAGCCCTCAGTACTCAAAGCTGGAGGACTGAATGTCTTACAAGAGACAGGCACGTTTCAGAAATGGTGCATCAATTTGGATGTGGGGTTCTGTTTTCATGTTTTCTCCATGTATACATGGGTTTTCTCCGGGTACCCTAGTTTCCTCCCACAGACCAAAAACATGCATGTTAGGCTGACTGATAAGAAACTCTAAATTGTCCCTAGGTGTGAGTGAGAGAGGAAATGGTTGTTTGTCTCATTTCTTTCTATGTGTCCAGGTAATGGACTTGGACCTGTCCAGGACTTTGTTGTTTTCAGCCAGTTGGACATGACTGTCAACAAGGAAGAGGGCCGGCAATGGAGGAGGGAGTGTGAAAAAGACACCATCTTAGCACCAACAGAACTGGTTTGTTCCACTTTGGAGTAAGCTGTTGGGGGGAAGAATCAGTTTTGTTGTGTGCTTCCTTGACTGATGAAGCCTTCTGGATGGAAGGTGAAATGTTTCAGCACAAATAAAGAAACTGTCCAGATGACCTGACTGAAAAATGTTGGAGGATTTTTTTTTTCTCAACTATTTTTTGTGATTTCTTCATGCTTACACCAACACCGCGAAGTCCCATGCGTGGCACATGATCAGGGCTTAATTTGTAAACTGATTGATGCTGGAACAGCGGGTTGGGGGGCGGGGGGTGCGCGTGGGGGTTCCGTGGATCTTCTCACAGAAAATTTTGAATAACAGATGCCATTTCCTGCATTTTGGTGTATTTTAATGGGTTGTTATACATCAACATTGACCTACATTTGTAAACACTTAATAGAATTACTATTTTGAGAGGAACAGCAGGTTGTGTGTGAATTAGAGCAGCACCGACTCTGTCAGGTGTCCTTAACCCCCCTCCTCCCTCCCCTCACTTCACAGTTCTGAGCTGAACTCCTCTGCTCCTACTCCAGTTTGAAGCACCTGAAGGATTCAATTCTCTGTTGTCCAACTAAGGACAACCAATCAACCAATCAATCAATCCATCCATCCATTCGTCCATCCAGTTTTTTATTAAAGTAAATTGGACTGTCTTTTTGACATTTTGATCACTGTTGTTATTTTGACAAGTTATCGCCGTTGTTTTGAAACGTGACATAATGTGAATTACACATCAAACATTTCTCTCTTTGTATTTTTAACTTATTTTTTACAGTAAGCTTTTTTATTTATTATGTCGAAATGCAGCAGGAGTTCAGACACCTGCTCATGTTGTGCGCGCTGTGTAGAGCTGTCTGGAGACGTTTCTGTGCGTAACGTGCACTGTCTGCAGGGAATTTATTTATTCTCTAGAATAAATGATCGTTTCTGTTTCGGGGGTTTGAGAGGAGGAGAGAGAGGGTGTTTTTCAGTGCACAGCCCTGCTGAGGAGGGACATTATTTAGGAGAGGAGGAGGAGGCAAGGACTCCGCAGCACCTTTGTGCCTGATCCGTTCTCCCCCACACCCAGAGGCTCCTCTCCTGCTGGTGCGCTGCGTGTGCTACGGCTGGAATATCCACAGACTGGGTCCGCCGGGCTGAGGGCAATGTCTCCTCTCGTTGTATTTTTAATAAATAATTAAAATAGAAATGTACAATGACTTGCCGGATCCAAACAAAGAGTTGCCGGAACAGAACGGGTCAAAATGAGAGAGTTCCCGGATCTTGATCAGGCAGGATCCGGCTCAAATTAACCCCTGCATGTGATGCTTGAATATAACCAGGGTTTGCTGTCAGACTTGTTATTCATGATTGGTCATTCCTGCAGGAATGGCCAGTCAAGCTTTTGATTTCTGAAGTGGTATGTGTGTGTGGTGCTGAAACAAAAGAACATTTTGCAGAAAATAATACATTTATGATGTGGGCGGGGCTTATTGTTTGATTTTTTTTTTCTGTCTCTCTTTAATTTAACATCATTCTAACATTAGATAAGAGGTATGAAAAATCAGTTGTCAGTTTTCATATTTTAACCATCCAGTTGCCAAAGCAGGTACGATGACAACATGAAAATACCCATAATCCTTAGCAGCCTTTGAAGAAGAAGAAGTCAATCAGAAATGCAGACTCATACAGAGAATCTAACAGACCTGGATTTAAATGGACTTTTTTCCCTGCAGCATTTCTTCTTGGGTGCTGTTTGCACATTTGATGAATCAGTTGTGGTTTTATTTACCAGCCTCTGGTTTAGTCGAGGATAAATGTCCACACACATCTGAGAGCTTATATGAAGGTATCTACTGGATGTTTTCCTGAACTGATCTTTCTTTTATGTTTGTTTCTGCCAACAGGACTTGCCGTTGCCTCGCAAAAACAGCAGGTGAGTGTTACTTTTTTCTTTCTTATCTCCCACTAACTCATGGGTTTTCTCTGGCTACACCAAGAAAAACAAACATCCGTCAGCCGCTCATCAGCAGAGTTTCTTCTCCTGATCATACATGTGACTGGCAGGCTGCCTTGATTTGCTCATTCTGTTTGAAAGCTGTGAGCACACTTCATTGATTTCAGAGGTGTGACGTTTGTAGTTCACTTGTGAAGGAGGAGGAGGAGGCCTCCTGAAGAGCAGCTGGAGTGTGTCAGACTCTGATTATGACCAGCTGAGCTGTGGATTCTGTCCATGGTGCTGAAAGCTATTTATCCAACACTCTTCTCTCCCCATTGCTTTCTTATTATGGGGTGCCGATGCATTAGAACTGAAGCACCCTCATTACCATTCAGCCGTTATTCTGTCGTTTCAATCATGAGTTTCAATCTGCTTCTCCTCGCGTCTTTAACACACCAACATGAAATATAATAATAATAATAATAATAATAATAATAATAATGTGTTATGATCATTGTATGTTCCCATTCAATACAAATACATAAAAATACAAAATTGGCTCTCTGCATTTAACCCATCCACCCCTGGGTGGTGCAGTGGGCAGCTATTGAAGTGCCCGGGGAACAAATTGGGGATAGGGTGTGCTGCTCAGAGACACCTCGAGATGTGCAATGACTGGGGATTGAACCTGGGACTTTCGAGTCCTGGGTCGGCTGCCCTGCTTCTACACCATCTCGGCCCCCAAGTCAGGATCACCTTGATTAGTACATATAACAGCATACAAACTTTACAAAAGCTAAAACATTAAAGAAAAATAAATGTCCCCGTACATAACTGGCATTTTGACTTAACGAGTAAGAATACCTAGCCCTCTTTGGAGCTCTACAGCTCAGTGAGGCTTCACAGTAAAACATTGGTCAAAGTTGAAACGGGTCACAGAAAGTTGGCCTTTACGTGACTAAACTGGCATTTGGATAGAAGATTTTACACAGTCAGTTTTCTTTGTGACAATTTTATCATAGGATGTTTCATGTTTTTTCATAGGATGTGAGGTTGTAACAACTTCTGAGTCGTCTTAACTTTCCAGACTTTTGCGCCTGAATTTTCTCTTCAGAACTAGAAATGAAGGGTATTCTTAAAATGTTCACATCACCAAGATAAAACACTGTAGATACACATGAATTTACAGATGTTGTTACTTACAGGCCAGAAAGGTTTTTCAGTCCAACTCAGATTTTGCTCAGTGGTGATTTGGTTCAGACTTATTTTCTAGTGTTTCTGTCTACCTGTGTTATTAGGAGTGCTGTCAGGGAGTGAGAGACACATGTTTTTGATGACCGCGGTGACACATGAACAATTGACTGAAGATTTAACTTTATTTTTAACTCTTTTCACTTCTTATATATTTTATACATTAAAAATACAATGGTTATATTTGAAACATTCATCCATCCATTATCTTGAGCTGTTTCTTCCTTTTTTTGGGTCACGGGGGTCACTGATGCCCCTGTCCAGCCAGTCACTGTGCGAGAGTCGAGGGACACCCTGGACAGGTCTCCAGTCCATCACAGGGACACATAGAGACAAACGAGACAAACAACCATTCACTCTCTCACTCACACCTAGAGACAAGTTAGAGTTATGTCAGCATAAAGGCTCCCACAGACTCGGGCGTACGTCAGTCCACGGAGGTCCGCGTGTACCGGATTAGACTCGAAGTGGACGCCCGCAAGGCATGTCCACGCAAAGATCAATTTTTGCAACTGCTTACGCGTACTCTGTCGCACAATAAACTAAATAGATGGACAGTTTTGACACCAATATATTAAATTTCCCTTCTTCATCCCTGGTCTTGATTAATGGCCTTTTCTTATGTTACTTTTCCAAGAGGCAAGCGATCTCTTCCTCCTCCTCCGTTGACGCCATGACTGAAATGGTGAGAAATGAAGGAATTTGTCACAAGAGAATTAAAATCGGTTCCAGCGTGGCTGCGGGAGGGTCTGGAGGTTTCCTGGTCTGATGTGTGGGCTGCAGAGTCTGCACTCCCTTTTTTTTTAAAGAACTTTTTATTAACAACATATAAACACAGAACACTGTGGTCGCTTGCTGCCAGCTCTCGTTTTTTTTTTTGTTTTTTTTTTTTTTGCAAATTGCCAATCAACCCAGTAGGCGTGTCAGCAACTGACCAATTGGCGACCTCAGTTAGTGCTAAAGGTAAACGCCCCTTGCCTGTGAAGCTGACTGCAGCCGGTCAGGGTGTATGCTCGAGTATGAAGTCCCTATCGTGTGCGGACAGTGCGAGCACTGTCTGCGCGGCTCACGGTACGCCCGAGTCTGTGGGAACTTTGTCGAGTCTGGGGCAACATTGTGGTGCAGTAGGTAGAGTTGCCGCTTCTCAGCGAGCAGGCCATTGGTTCAAATCCTGGTGGAGTTTGCATGCTCTCCGTGCATGACCAAAAACATGCATGTTAGGCTGACTGGTAACTCTAAATTGTCTCTAGGTGTGAGTGAGAGTGAATGGTTGCTTGTCTCATTTGTCTCTACGTGTCCCTGTGATGGACTGGGGACCTGTCCAGGGTGTCCCCCGCCTCTTGCATAATGATGGCTGGATATGGGCACCAGTGACCCCCGTGACCCGAAAAGGAAGAAGCGAGTAAAGATAATGGATGGATGCTAACACTTGTAGCTTGCTGAATGTGCTTGTTTCAAAACAGCTTTACCTTAAAATAAAATCAACTTTTTTGTCAGTGTGTGACTTATAGGCAGTGAGATTGAGAAAAAGAGCTAGGGCTGGCACTCCTTTGATACTCATGACCGATTTTATTTTGCTATAGGGGAAAACCTTTTTTTTAATAAAGGAGAAATGTGTATGAAATTTCCCGCCTTTTTGGCCATACACAACTAACTGACAGTGTTTTTGTCATCTACCTACGATCAACAAAACATCCTGTTGTCTTTGGTATCTCATTAAAAGGAATTTAAACCTCAGTTAGATTGTGGAATTTTTTTGTTGTTTTGAAATGATCTTTACTTTTTAACTCTGAACTATATACAACTGTTTCCTGTCTGCTAAGCTACTAGCCCCTACTAACTGCATACAAAGTGGTCCTTTTCGATTCTTTACCGCCTGTTAATAGAGTTTCTACTCTCTTTTCTTACCACATCTTCACAGTCATCATTTTGTATGTTGCACTTAAAATGTCTAAAAGCAATATCAGCTACTCTCAATCCTATCTCCTTTTATTTTACCACCTCATGCCAACAGTGTCTTAGGACACTTTGGGTTTAGCACATTGCTGTCTCCCTCACTTTACATCCAGTATCTCTCTGTAGAAGGTTATTAGGTCAACATCCATTATGGATGCTCTCAGAGGAGTTGGCTTCACATTCAATCTACTTTCTGCATTTCATTCATCAGTAAAGACAGCCGTTGTATTGTTGTTTGCTATGGTTTCTTAATCTTTGACTCCAATCTAAACCTATTTCCCTGTTATGTAACTGTCCACATTAAAATGTTCCTTAGTCATGTCTTCCCTTTTCTGCTCTGGTGAATTAACCTCTCTCTAGGCTTTTGTTCCTTCCTTCGTGATGTAAATAGCCTGTAGTGAAAGCTTTCAACTTAGAGGAACGCATAGAGCCCAAGGAAAAGTCACAAAACTATGATTACTGCACCTTGGCCTTGAGAAAACAGCCCACAATCCCCTGCTGCCTTTTGTTGTTTCTTTCTAAAAGAACGACCCACCCTTCCTGCCTCCATCACTCCCTCTGTTGCTGCCTCTCTCTCTCTTTCTGGGTTTCTCTCTCTCACCTTTGCTTCTCCAGCACACTTGTTCAGACATGCAGCCGCTGAAGGTTGTGGGACCTACAGGATGTGTTACTTTGCAATGAACTCGTGCCGGAGACCTGATGCTTTGTGATAGCTGTCCTTTGACTCCAAGCTGCTACTGTTCCTCAGAGCTACAACCTCAGTAGATGTTCAGTCAGCATGTTCCAACGGACTAAAAGGTAAACTAAGAGACTTCAAATAGAGCGAGGATTTGGTCTCTGCTGTGTTCATTTTTCATTTTTACAACCTCTGTGCAAGTCTGCGGTTTAGAATACAAAAAAGGCTGACTGCGTGCAGTGTAAGGTTACAGAAATGTGTATGTGTAAGTGTTTAACTTGCTTTTGAATGACTGTTTTTGTCTCTTGAATGGATGAATACAGTGATTTGGACTCTTTTTTTTTAAATTTTTTTATCCTTACATGTAGCATTTTTTTTCTTACCTGCAGTTAAAAAGTGGTTTAACTGACATAAATTTCCTTTATTTTATTTTTACTTTAGCATTCCATTATAAATTCACCTTCTGCAAAACTGTTTGCATGCAGTTTTACTTGTGTTAGATGCTAATACTTGTAATCAAACAGTCGCGCTCTAAATTGTTAATTTTTCCAAACTGCAAAATCATCAGAACAATGTTTCTATTAGTGAGCTAGATTTTTAAAAAAAGTAACAGTACATATTAAAATCAAAAGTGCTAACAGAAAAGAAATAAAACTTTTTAATGTCTTTGACACCTGCTAATCTTTAAATTAGCCTTAGCATGCTGGTTTAGCTATCTGCTAATTTTAGAAAACATTAACCTAAGCTGATAAAAAGATGATTGTGTCACCATAAAAACTGCTCAAGATAAGTGCTGTCTGTTAGTAAGTTTGTGTTATGTTCATTTAGGAAAGGTAAGGGTTTATTCTGTAGTCTTAAAAAAGAGCTAATGTGCATGCTAGGATGCTAACTTTCACTTTGATCTTTTTCTGAGTCCGTGAGGTTTTCTGTAGGTTAGTTGTTGGTTATCAACAAAACTAATACGCAAACAATAATGTGCACATTTGAAAAGGGAAAAAAAGAACTTTAGATGACATAAAAATGCTTAGTTAAAAAGCTAATTCTGTATATGTACCATATTAACAATGACCTTTAAACTAGCTAGCTAGCAATTTCAAAACTACATTTTGTTGGC